CATATACATATACATATACATATACATATACATATACATATACATATACATATACATATACATATACATATAGGCACCCCCCCCGCACGCGCGCACACACACACACACACACACACACACACACATATAAATGGCTGTGTCTGTGTCTCTGGAACCCCTCAAGCAATTTCAACCAAACTTGGTACACAGATGACTTACTCTGTGGAAACAAATACTGTGGGGGTAAGACATCCCTAACCTCCCTTGGGAGGGGAGTGTTCGGTTAAGATACAGCCTGTTGTGCCTTAAAATAGCTTCTACTTTACTGCCGTAAAATGGCTTCTACTATGCAGCGCGGTGGAGTTGTCATGGTAACGGCTTCACAGTACTCCACAAGGGGGCTTCCTCTGGTAAGAGGGAAAATCCAACATTAGAAATTACATTCGTTCTGGACATTTTCTCCCTTTAAATAAATACCCAGGCAACGCCGGGTTATCAGCTAGTGAATAATATAATCAAATGGGTTTGACAGAATACTGCAGACTGAGTTCAAATGTCAGGGAAGGAATGGTGGAATTTGTCATTTAGAAATGAAAGACAAATACATGGGCAATGCTTCAGTTTTGAATTCTAAAATTTTTACCATTCTGGCGGTCTTTTTAATACAAGTACAGTCAACAACATTTTTAATTTATCAGGTTTTCTTCCTTGAAATTCCATCTTAAATAAAGCTTTTCTGTGAGTGTTACAGATCTTCATTCCTACATTGTTTTCTATTCCAGCCTTCTGGAATTAGTAGTCTATTGATGAGTTCAACTTCTACTCCATATTTCCCAACCAGAGTATCTTAAGGGCTAGATCTTCTTGTACATATTTTCTTGAACCCTGAGACCTCTGGATGCTTTTGTGGCCTGAGAACAATGTTTATAAATGGTGTGACACTCTACACTAGTCTGAAATGCCCTCAGCAATATAGTATGTCTTGTGTGCCTGTTTTATTACCATTTGAGAGGCTAACAAGGCAGTGTGTTTTTGTCCTCAGTTCTTAACCACGACATTTCCTAGATGGCAATGGAATCATTTAATTCAATCTGTTTCAGTTATTCCTGTTAACTAAAGTACATAACTGTAGTTGCAGTTCTAGTAGTAGTAGTAGTAGTAGGAGGAGGAGGAGTAGCGATAACATTTATTTTTCTAAGTTCTAAACATTAAACACCACTGAAAATTAATGTTATGCAGCAATTATGGATCATAATTTTGAAAAGTGGCATAGTTTTGAAAAATTGAATATAACTTTAAAAAAAAAGATCAGGGGGAGGGGAAACAACAGATCCAAGAATTTGTAGTTATTCATTTCAGAACTCTATAGATTACTTTTTCTGTATACTTTGGTGCCCTTTTCAGATTCCTTATTATTAGGTAGCTATAACATGATATATACTATTCTCAGTGCAATCCTATGAATGTGAATCCTATGAATCCTATGAATC